ATATATATATATATATATATATATATACTGTATATACTATAAACAAATACAGTAATTAATTTAGGGATTAATTATAATTAATGAATAAAAAGAAAGGCAATTAGCCTCTAGTTGGGGAGAAAAAAAGAATTGTTACCAACAGAATGCATGCAACATTTCCTGTTGCTTTCTGTTTCTTATAGATATGCATAACATAAATACATATATATTTATTATCAGCTGCTGATGACATACTGCTGCTGCTGTTGCTGCTGCTGCTGCATATTCTCTTACTTGTTACTTGTTGTTGTTATTAACAAGAGGGAGAGTGTCGTTAGGTTGATTCTCTTGTAGCAACAAAGGAAGGGATGAATCATCTCTCCTTCCTCTTCCTGCATCATATAAGCATCACAACATAATCACCAACACTCCTCCTCATAAGTATATTAAGGGAAACAAACAAAAGGGGAAGGAAGATTGAATAATTTTCTTCCTTTCCCTCCTATATAGGGAACTATACTAAAGAAATTGTACAAAATAACAATAACAGACCTTCTGATCCATGAGTCTTGTCAACTTTATATGTTAGATGAAGAAATCCATAGGCAATGACGGTAAGAAGCCATGGACCAACCGTCATACATAACATAGATAGAGCTATTGCACGAGCATTGCCGAGTTGTATGACTTCTGTTGGTATATTCATTGACACAGATCTCGTCATCTTTATGTAACCAAATACATTTTCACACAAATAACCAACTATTGGAGCTCCAAGTGCTGCAGCACCAACACCCTCTAAGCAAGAAACCTGAACAAAATATCACCAATCACACAGATACACACATTGATGCATAATGCTTCATGAACACTCTTCTTCCTTGACGAATAATACACAAATATGTCCATGCTTACGAATATAACACACTTGAAAACTTAAAACCAGGACTGTTCTTAATACTATGACTCTTGCATACGGAAAATAGTCTTTTTCTCACCAGTGCAAAAGTCGTAGCACGGTGTTCTGGATTAACTATTTCTGTAAGGATAGGACGATTCACCCCGACTCCAGGCCACCCGGCTAAAAAGCCAATCAAGATTGCCAGTAAGACAAATATCCAAACTGAAGTCGCCACTCTTGGCACACAGGTTAACATGACAGTCATGAGCATGCATCGCACTACTATACACACCTGCGCCAGGCACTGTCGACCATGGTTAGGGTATCGCGAATGTACAATGTCTCCTGTGTAACCGATCACGGGTGCGACTATCATTGCTGCAATCCAGCTGGAAGAAACGATAAACGAAGCCCACCAATCCGGAATATTGCAATACTGAAAGTACATTGTAGAGAAATGAATTGCAGACCGAGGAATTCCATTGAGAACTCCCTGAACGCAGAAACAACTTCACGCATTTGGTAAATTATTTACCCAGAAGACGTTTGGATATTAACAATGGATTGTGCGGCACACTCTCGAGTTGCTCCAGAAATTGAGGGCTTACCATGATAAGCATCACCCATACACTTCCGTTTGAGAAGACATACGCGATATCGCGGATTGAATACCAGCGACCTTGTTCTTTCTGTCTCTGCCGCTGGTACGGACAGTCCGGTATACGGCATCCTAGCATAATTCCGACAATTATGGAGAACAGGCCGAAACCAGCTAAAGCATATCTCCAGCCTTCGATACTCAATGCACTTAGGCTGGAGACAGATGTTGTAATTATTAGGGAAACAACTCGGCCAAATGATTGGAAAAAGTGTAAGAGACCAAAACTATGGCCTCGCTCGTTCTCCGGCACTTCCTGCCCTATCACCTTCTGTGAAAGAGGGCCCATAGCAGCCATAAATACTCCAAGGATGCACATTACAGGCAGGGGTTGCCACTTCTGTGTTATATAGAAGAGAGCAGCAGTGCCTACACCCCAACCAATGGCCGACGAAGAAAATATACGTCGGCGTCCGCAGCAGTCGATGACGAAGCCCCATAGGGGACAAGTTAGAACATGAGCAATGCGGGTGGCAGAAGATAGTGTTCCAAGAGACTGAGGAGTAAATCCCATATCTCTTTCAAGAGCTTTGAAGCAAGCAGGGAGGAGTTGGTCGACGGCGCCATGTACACAACCGTAGAGATAAGTCGACCGAACAACTAACTGAGAAGTTGAGTTTAAGACTTTTCCGCCTATTCTTGTCTTGTTGTTAGAAGAAGTAGAGTGTTTGTCTTCTTTTTGTTCATTTTCGTGGAAGGTCGGACGATCGGAATTGCTCCGCAACCGCCCAGGAACTTGCATAGGCGTGTCGACGTCCTCCATGCCTTCACGAGAAATTTCATGGGAAATCTCTTAACGAATACAAGAATATGAAACTAATTCGCTTGTATTCGCCATATACTGGTGGGAAATGTACCACAGGGCCCGGGGTCGAGGAAGCTGCCTCACCGTTCGTCACACCCTAGGGAGTTGAACTCGGTTTCAGACAATTGAAACTTGGTTCGAGAGTGCAATAATTACATCATATTTTTAAAAATGAAGCACAAAAAAGGGGCGACGGCAATGACAGCCCAATGCGAAAGATTGCCTTCGATTCCTGCTGTACGGACACATGGCCTGGTTCAGCTGTGCTGTCGGCAGTCACATGCCAGCCAGAATTGTTCAAGTGGACGGTTCAAAATCTAATCGTTAAACTAATACTGGAAAATGAAACGTTATACATCTTGTCTCGTATTTGCCGCCTGGCTGTGCGTCAGCGCCAATGCTGAGGACGATGGTTATGTCCCACCAGTTCCACTGCACGAAGCCGTGACCACGAAATCAACTGCTACAGACATCAACGACGCCTCTCTAGCCGGAGAGCAAGTAAGGATAAATCGTATAGCAAGAGCACTTGATGCTTACTAATATGATCCTTTCAGGGGAAACCCGCAGAGGAAGTTGGTATGTTCGCTGTCGCATACGAGCTATATAACATTTTGGCTAATACGACGACTCCAAAGCTGACAGTCTGCGCCAGGGAGCATCAACACCCCAGGAGACTGGAGATGGAAGTGCCTTAGCGAAACAAGACGTAAGACTCTTTGGAAGACATTCAAAGCCGATTGGGCGACACATGTGCAATATTAGACTGCGCCCGCTGCACCACAAAGCGACGCTGCGAAGATGAGCGAGATAACTGGATCATCGGATGCTCCAGTAAATAACTAACAGAAGTATATTGTTAAATTATCTTCCTGCCTAACTTGAACTGTTGCATTAGGTGGAAGCATCAAGTGAAGCAGCATCGGTCAGTGCTTTCGGAACGATGTTACAACTGTACCGTTGTCATGCCTCCTTCAGAGTTCCGCTCCAGTTGCCTCACATGTCGAGGAAACAGCTAAAGAAGCAAACGCCACTGAAATGGTGCAGGCCAAAAAACCCTTGGCAATGGACCCAATAGCTGAGATGATGGGAGGAGAATTCAACACTGAAGTAGGCTTAATGAATAAGCAGGGAACTATGAAGAATATTCCATACACACATTCAGGCTAACCAAACAATGGCTGATAGCTTCCTTAACGTTCGCTCTCGCGTTCTGCGCTTGAAGGCAAATCGTGACCTGTAACAGTTCCGCTCCTGGAACAACGAACACTTCTCCCTTCGGGAAGCGCCTTGTAAATGGTTTCTGCTTTTGGCTACCGTGCATACCTATGCACCAACGTGCAAACAGATAGAGCGCTGAGTTGCCGAAGTGGAAACTTAGGGCTCCACAACCGGTTGCACACAACGTAGAAGGAAACAATATTTGACCAAATAACGAGTCTTGCTGTCAAATTCCGCACAGGCGAACTTTGTAGCACCAAAGCTACAGTATGTGCATAACGCACAAACTATGTAGCTCAGTTCCAATTGCAGCGTTTAGCTGTCCTCAGCAGTGTCACTGCATTCAACAGGGCAGGGAAACGCTGTAGGTCATGAGCGTTCAATGTTCCGCGTGGCTTTCAGCTACATCAATATATACAGACAAGCAACCTTCGAAGATACGCCATACAAGTAACGGAAAGGGCAAAAATGTATATGGTATAACTAAGACTACGTTAACCTAAGTAGTTGAGTCTATAACAGCTCGGACCCGTCAAGCTAGTGGGTGCGAAGCAGAGCAACAGAAAATCATCTAGCTCCACATTGAGCTTTTCGATATATAGTTTGATGCTTTGGAGTGCTCGGATAACGAATTTTTCGTAAAATATGAAGGGAACCGGTTAAGGTGGCCGTGGAGTGCACGGAGCGGAACAATGACGCGAACGGACACAGTTGTGCAGCAGCCCTTCGTACAACCGAGCACATTTATTGCTACACAAAAAACTTGAATAAATCGACCGTTTTTATCTATATGATGTGAAAATTCATATTGCTGCAGCCTTCTGAGGGAGAATTCCAGAGACACAGCCACGCGCTGACATGCAGCCAAAGTCCTAAGCAAAATAGGGCAGAGGTCGTCTTTTCATGCGCAAGCACATTCACGCAAAACGATCAGAAATGTGGGGAGGTATTTAAAAAATAATTACATATTCCACCACCACACCAATTAGATGGGCCCCGGAGCTGTGGGCTCTGACGGTTGGGCAACCCGTGTGGGACATTGCAAGCCAGCTTGAGGACACACATATTCGATGAGCATTGACAATTTACCGGCAGGGGGCTAGGTGGCTCCAGTCATAAGGCACCTTACTTTCTTAGCGAACGCTGGTTGTTACAGAAGAGGCTGCGTCGCTGGGAGTAATCAGTTCCGGAGCAGCCGGGCGTCTGGTCCGTGCTTGCGAATAAAGGATGCGTAGGCAAAAAGTGGCGCCAGCTGCCGGCGTGGTGCACCACGACTCTCTCTGTCATGATGGACAGGGATACGAAGAACACGTTAAGCAACCAGACTCGCCTGATGTACCAGAGTCTCCAAGCCAGGAGCTGCCGCGCACGGTGAGCACAACCCCAGGGATGTATTAGCAGGCCGCCCGAATAATTTGTGGCTCCGATAATACCTAGGCAATTACGGAGTTTTGTGGGGTCAATTTCCAAGCGGTTTTGGTGATTTTGCAGTGGAGGACCTGCAACGACGTTGCTGCCCATGTTCGAATGGAGAACCGATATTCCATTCCATTCAGATTTGTATGTGTTTGCTTTTGTGTTCTCCTCCCCACAGCGGATCTCGCGAGAGTGTTCGGGTTGCAGCGATGGAGTGAAACGCAGTTGCGGCTGCGGGCGGTGTTACTGCTGTTCCCGTGCTGCGCTTGACGACTTTATGCAGCAGCGGATGTCGGCTTGGGAACCTTTGCTCACTCCGAGGCGTATTTTGTTCGTATTATTTGGAGTGGGCCTGATTTTTGTTGTCTTGGGGTTTGTCATCCTCCTAGTAAACAACAGTATTGTGGAATGTAAAGTGAACTACACAGACATGGATGGCGACGTCAGCCTGAAGGTAACGCAGAACTAACATGCAGTCACAATAAATGCACCTGCAGAAGATGTACGATACCAACTTTTCAAGGGGGTAAAGTGGGGGCATTCTTCAGCAGCGCTTGCCTCACACTGGCGTGCGCAGTTTTTGTTGCGTTGGTTGCAGATAGACGCTTCGACATGCACCGACACTTCTATTACGGAAATAACGGGAGATGTTTTGCTCTACTACGAATTGTCCAACTATTTTCAGAATCATCGCCACTTCATGAAGTCGCGATCTGATAAACAGTTGGAAGTGAGTATGCTTGGCTTTCCATAACTGCTGGCTGGGAGTGTCACTCCCCCCCCCAATAATGCTCCATGGGCTTCCCTGCTGTTCTTTCACTATTTGCGCATGATGAGGAGTTATGAAAGGGCACTTGCCAGTGTCGTCTGAATGTTCCCTGCTGTCAATTAATTCAAGTTTCTTCGCAAGTGCCTACCTGTTTAAGACTAGAGCTGCACTGTTTTGTTTCTTTTCTGGCTTTTGCTCTGCGTTAAATTAGGGGAAGGTTTACACCGCAGCTTCAGAAGTGCGAACTGCGTGCGACCCTCGGGTGGAGTCATCCGATGGGCGTGTGCTGCATCCATGTGGTTTGAGTGCGGGTTCGGTATTTACGGATGTTTTTTCGGCTGTGGAGGAGGACGAGATAACGGAAATAGAACTCGACGAGTCAAGAGAAGCGATTTGCTGGGATTGGGATCTTTCCACATTCAAAAACCCGTCCAGCGAAGAAATGAATGCCGCTGCTCCGCAGGTTGACTTTTGGCTTTTTAACCAAACATACGCTTCCGCTTTACACATGGACAAACCCGGTAATGCACATTCATTTGGTGCTTGCCTGCGCACTACCTCCTTGATCTCACCAACTGTTTTTGCCAGGCTCTCGCCGTATCCACAGGGACGAGTACTTCCAGGTACTTGCGAGGCAAGCAGGAGATTATTGTCAATGCGTAGCACGTGCTGCGAACAGGTGTTGGCTGGGGAGTGGAGAATTCACATTTTATTGTCTGGATGAGAGAGTCGCCTTTGCCCGTATTCCGAAAGGTATATGGACGGTTCGTGGCGCAACCTCTGAAGCTTCCCTTTTACATAAAGGTCACAAACAACACCTATGACGTGAAGTCTTTCGGCGGTAAGGCCTATCCTAACTGCCGAAAACCCACCTACGCTTCCACGACAGCGTTACTGATGCCTGTTCCCTTATTCCCAGAGCCAGTGCGCTCTGAAGCTTCTGCTGGTGTGCGTGCTGTTGGTTTGCCTGGTTAAACGAATCTTAGCCTGTGGAGGTGACGGCGCCGGTTCGCAGTGTATAAACCAGCCGTTGAACGGATGACCGTGCCTCATCCGTTGAGTGAGGGGATTGCGTTTTTGTGAATCTGTTTTTGTCATGGCCTTCCATTTATGCACAAACGTACTTTGCGCACGAATGGAGCGGCAGCTGCGTGGGTGTATGGATACGATTGGATGGTTTCTGCGCCATTGCTCTCGTAATGAGACGTGCTTCTACGCTGTAAGCCTGTGGACCATCTACTAGCGTCCTTATACGTTTTTTGGTGCTGAATCGGGTTTGTCGCAGGAGTTTTCGGTCTATGCTGTTTTGTGTATTTATGGGTTTGCTTGCAACATTTTATTTTCATTAATTGCAGGTTCAAAGAGCGTAGTGGTGACACAGGCTTCGTGGCTGGGCGGTCGCACGGCTTTCCTGGGGATTGCCTATTTGGTTGTAGGGAGCATTTGCCTACTCTTCTTCGGCGTTCTCTTCTACTATCATAGGAGGAACCCCAGGCACTTGGGGGACGTCTCCTGGCTGCGGAAGGCGCTGTATTCGTAGGCTAGGCACGCCTGCATGCAAACAGCCGAACTTCCGGCTGCTGCCTGGGCAATGCACTCGCGATTAAAGTGCAGGCTAAGGCTCGATATCCGACAGCAGCGCTTTCTAAGAGACAGAGCTTGACTCATGTCTCGTTGGCTGCCTGCTTGTTTACCGTTTGAGAAGAGCAGGGCTGGCGGAGAGCCTTATACCTAGGGCTCACGACCCATTGCCTTGCCTTGCGTGGTGGTGGCCTCTCGTCCTGGTGCCGGCAGGTGAGGGCATGAAATATGTTTTGTGCTCCCGTCTCCAGGAGACATGTTTTTAAGCATTTGAATGGGCATGTATCGGCAGCTTCAGGGTGGTGGCTGTCGCTAGCTGGCTTTTACCCCTCTGTAGTTGGGAAAAGCTGCCGTTGTCGACAGGCACGGCGGCGTAATAACGCAGGGATCATTTGCTATGCGGTTTGCTGCGATATACACATAAGAACGAGATGGGGAGCATGATGTTAGAAGGCCATATCTGGTCACATATAATGCACAATTTAGGAATAAATTCATATAAAAACTATGGGCTAGCGTGTGGGGGATCCTTTGGGGTGGAAGCTTTTGGCTCTGTCTTCGATTTCGTCTATCCAGGAAGCCAGCTGATAGAAGCTAACTAACTCCCCGCGGACTCCGTGGGCCATTGCTGCAACGAGCTGTTTAACCTCCTCTTCGGAAGCAGCTGGCTTCAAACCGGTCAGGTTGTCCATGAAGTCGTCCTGATGATTTCATGCAGAGGGAGTTATTTTCAGGTGTAGATCGATGCAGTTCACAGCGCGCAGACAACGGTGTTCCCAGGTGTAGGGCTGCAACAAACTGTAAATTCAAGAGAACACTATCGGCTCACCACCGTCACATAGCCGTCAGCGTCGTCGTCAAGAAAGTCGAAGAGGTCCTGAGAATATAAAGGAGATGGGAGTTGCCAGTTGATGCACAGAAAAGAAGGCGCTGGACCCGTGTATACGCTTCCCGTAAGTGGGGAGGCGCCAGTGCTCTTGTCTCGTCCTCCAGAAGATGCATGATCATCTGTCAATGTGTGTGAAAATGCAAGCATTTATTTTAGTTAAATCGGCAAAGGAAGCTGGAGGCGCGGAACGTACGGCGGTGAAAGCGGGGAACGTGAGGCTCTCAGAAGTGTCCAGTGCGACGACCCACCCATCTGTGTTTGCGGCATTAATTTAAACGGCAAAATACATGAATGAGGATGCACATGCAATGAAAATGAGATCTCTAGTGGCTGTGGAGGCAGTATATAATAACGGGCGGTGCAGCAGCTGCTGACCTGCTTTCTCTTTGCAGTCGGGTATTCTTTCGTTTAGTGCAAATGCTTCGATCATCTTGTGAATGTTCGTGAGGGGGATCCTGGGTTCTTCAGCGAGCTCAGCAAATGCGTGGAAGATGTCTTGGTAGCCTTTTTGCGTTTCTGGCGAGAGGGAGTCGTATAGTTGCTTCGCTTCCTCTATTTCATCTCTCGCACGGCCGGGGCGTGAGGCGAAATCGGTGTCTGCTTTGTAGCGAAGGAACTGAAGCATTTGGAAATACCTCTCCAGCTGTTGCGAGCGGAGGCGCTGTGCGCTTGCAGCGATGGCCTGGCGGCTGGCTAGAGACCCGAGGTTGCTGACGACTGTGAAGTGGGTGGCGATGGAAGGGAAGAGCCCCATGCTGAGGAGGAGCACTAACAGGGGCGCGATGCCGCTCCAGTAGCCCAGCACCCCAAACATAACATGCTGATAGTGCGGGGATATCAGCAGCTTCGCTGCGGCAGTTACGGCGACAACGTGAAGCGACAGCGACAGTTGGATTAAGGTCCTCATTGCTGGGATGCCTCTCGGTCCTAGTACGAATAGCGACTCCTGAGCGTTCATTACTCGGGCTCCTCTAATCAGAGTGCATATTGGCCCGTTTCGAGTTACGGGTGGGAGCGCTTCAATTGGTGCAGCAGGCAAAACCGTTGAAGTCCCCGGTTGTGCAAGACCCCGAAGGTACTCTTCGATCTCCTTACTGCTGGGAGTGTGGTAGTTCAAGACTGTTTCTAGTCGCCAGAAGATGAAGAGGTTGAAAAACAAAAGGGCCCCTGCAGCGAAAACAAGAAACTCCATTAGCGGCTTCGGGCTGAAGCCAAAGACCGGCCGCACAGAAAGTAGAATGGGAATAAACAACGTCCAAGTGGATATTGGTATTTCGACCATGTGCAACAGTGTCTCAGAAAGCCGTTCTGACAGGAACTCGCCGAAGTTGAATTCTCCTTCTTGGTGAGGAGCAAATGGCGTTAGCGGATTCATAAAGCGGAAACGAATGTACCAAAAACGAAGGGCGGAGTCCGACGCCTCTCTGCTTTTCACGATTTGCTGGAATTCCGACTCTCCCATGCCGTCGTACCTGTAAGGAAGAGGTTATTAATTTTCCCAGTTAAACGGGCGATACGCTGTTGTCAGGTGCTCACCTCCGCCATTCTGTCGTAGTTGCAACTGACAGACTCAGCAGCACGAGGATGCTGACTGTAAAAGTTACTAGCAACAGGAACACGATGATGTGCGCGCTTTCAAATAACTCAAACACAACTGTGGGAGCAGCGTATGGGTTTCCGCTTTCCTCCTTCAGTTCCTCTATCCCAATGCGCTCGAGGGAATTCTGTCCGAGCAGTTTGTCGTTGATTGCCATCGTCAGGCCGAAACGAGTGGAGAAAAAGAGAAGAAGAGAAATGAACCCAAGCACCGTTACTTCTTTTGTAATTGCGGTCACCACCTTCAGCACATGGTGCAAATGGTTGTGCTCCAAATACTCGACGAGTTCTTCATGAGCCACCTGCAGGAAACATTGTTTTTGTCGTTTGTTCATTTTATTCGGAATGCAGGCGTACTTCAAATATCAGAGTCAGGAACAAAATTACAGCCAGAATTGCAATCGTGATGTTTCCCTGTGCAAAGGCGTGGTCGTGGGCTTCGGCTGCGACGCTGCAGGCGTCAGAGGAGGCAGTGCAAACCATTATGGAGGAAAACGGCATCCTTTAGCTCAGTCGCTTGAAAAAAGAAAAACGGCGAGGGAACAAAACCAGAGAAACTCTCCTCATTCCAGGAGCTTGGCATAAACATGAATCCCGTAAACCACGGAACTCAACAGCCTCTCAGGTGTCTCGACTTCTAAGTACTTACGAATGTTTAAATTTGTTTAGAAGGCCATGCATCGGGATAGTGGATGCTGTAAGAAGGAAAAGCCAGGGGCAGCAGCTGTATGCGCATATTGATATTCCACAGCTTGCCTCTGGCGTGGGGGAATTAGGTTGGTAGGGTGGCCAAAGAGCAATCGGTAACTGCTTCCACTGGGGATGCAGCAGTGAATTCCCCATTGGTGTAGTTCCGCAACTGATAAGAATGCTAATTACCATTTACTTCGCCAAGTATGGTGGATGGTTGCGCATTCATCCGATGCATTTAAGCGAAGCTGTTTCTGAAATAGGCATCTGCATCGGTGCACCGCAAGCTTCGCACATGTGCTTATCGGGGGCAGGACCCTGGGTTACTTCACACTGTGTAGGATGTTTTTTATTTTGAATTGAAATGGTACTGCAGAAACTCTTTAATCCCGTTGTGTGGTGTGTAACGGGGGCTGACAGCGTCGAGCTGGTCGTACTAGGGAGGTAGTGTGTTTGGAGTATTAAACTATGCCGGGTTTGTTTTAGCCCTCCGTAGCTCAGGAGGAACCCTGAAAGAAAGGAGATACCTATAACGTGCGTAGTAGGACCGAAACAGCGGATGCCTCCTTGAGTTGAAGTTCCCGTCTGGGGTACTGCGTATGACGTCGACCAACACTACCTCTCTGAAGTTGTGATTGTGTCGGCGTAGACAAAGACGCTGGTAGAAGCAGTAACGTAGCTCTACAAAGGGCCAAAAGCCAGTTAGTCATTTGCACATTCCTATTGTTGTTAGTGTGCTGGTGAAGAAAAACCCGAAATTTTCCATGTATGAGGACTCGGTTACTTCAGTGGTAGCTGCTACCTTAGGGACAACAATAACGGAAATACATCCAGAGAGGAGGTTAAGATGCCATCATGTGGAACTTTGCAATGGCAGAATACCAACTGGTAAGGACACCTTCACCTGAGACTTACTAGTGGTTCCGACCCTTTCACAAATTATTAATTGCATTAATTATAAATTAACACACAATTTAATCATATGTGTTCGGAATTTCCAACAAGTACGCACATGAGGATTTCACAACACCGCGTGTGCAAGTCCGCTCGAGCAGCTTCTGCGAGTACACAGTCGATGGCCTTCGGCTGCGTAGCTCCAAGTTAATTATTCTTCAATTATACAGCAAAACATACGATTTCTTTCATTTAGGATCACTGAAGTGTACACGAACTGCAGTAGATTGCCTCTGTAACCGTAAGCCTTCTGACGGCCCGCGCGACTTTTGTGGCCTGTGCAGCTGTCAACCCGTCTTTTGCCTACTGTTGCATCAGGCCTTCTGAAACGGCACTGTTTTCTTCTTTACTACTGTTTATATTAAAAGCTTTACGGTTCCTTCTATCTGATGGGCTACGAATCCCAAGTTCTTCCGTATTCTAGTTTTTTTATTAATTCGTAGACACACAGCGCCGCCGTTGGAGGCGCCACTTCTTGCTCCAGCTGCTGTCTCTCCACAGACTGAGCTGAACATCAGCATGGCGGAAGGCAGCGGGTCTCGGGGAGGTGCTCCCTCTCGGTCCTCTACACGAGCTGCGGAAGCAGGTGGCGCTGCCTTCTTGCATACAGCGCGCCGCAGTTCATTGAGCCGTTTGGACACATCTCCAGCCGACTCCTTCTTCTCCAACGAGCCGCCGCCTCCCAACGTTGCCACTGCCGGGCTCCGTGTGCGGCAGTTTGTTCGGCCCCTGCTGGAAAAGGAGGAGTTGAAGGAATCCAAAGTTGCAATCATCACTGCAGGGGGCACAGATGTCCCTCTAGAGGTACTCATTTGAATGATCAATTCATTAAAGCGTATCATTCATCTGCTACTGAAGAGCAGCTAAGCATTTCCCTTGTTGTGCATTGCTTAGAAGGGCAGTTGAGCAGAATGCTGGCTGCCGTTGCTGCTGTTTTCGTTGGCCTGGTTGTCTTGGACGTTTCGAACGTTTATATCTTGGTACTCTATGACAGGCTGATGTGATGGTACTGCTTCGGCTGATGTTTGTGATATTAGAGTTGCTACGACTGACGGTACAGCTGCTGCAGGAGTTGCATAGCGTGCGTTGTGTGTGTGGGCAACTGTATGCATTTCAGCGAGAGGCAGTGCGGTATATAACCAACACTAGTTCGGGGGAGCGTGGAGCTGCACTGTGTGAACAGCTTTTGCGTTTGGGCTATCACGTTGTATACGTGACATCGGTACGAGCAATGAAGCCCTTTGTCCGCCATGTGCTTCCCATTCACCCCATGCCACACATACTCGATTCCATGGCTCTCAGCAGCCTCCAGAAGCAGCAGGAAGAAGAGGGGCAACGCCAGCAGCCGGAGCCGATTGTGGAGGAGCCATCGTCGGAAACTGATGCATCTGAGGGCGAGAAGGCCTCCATGAGTCCTCCCCCTTCTGAGCGTGTGGCGTACGAGACGTATACTACAGTTTACGAAGAGGACAAAGATGGTGACGGGGCGCGAGTTGTCACTTCTGTTGGGTCGGTCGTCAACACTAGTGACCCACAAGCAGACGATCAGGACGCAGGTGTAACCACGGAGCCTGCAGAAGCCTCCTCATCAGCTGCTGCTGCAGAAGCAGCAGCAGGAGCAGCAGCAGCAGCGGTAGAAGCAGATGATTCAGGGGATGACCAATTTCCGTGGAGTGTAATTTTGAGGGGACCGTTGGATTCCGTTGGGGTCGACACTGGGATGGAGGACGAGGCAGTGGACGCGTCGGGTTGGACGTTCGGCAGGCGCGAGGCGGCGGCTGCCTTTGAGCTGTACAGCCGCTGCAAAACTCGGCTGTTGTGCATCACCTACCGTACACTCGTGGACTACGCCTTCATTGTGCGTGCAGTTACAGCGGGAGCGGCACCTCTTCGCGAACGACTGATGTTTTGTTCCGCTGCTGCCGTTGCAGACTTTTACTTGCCACACGCTCTCATGTCAGCCCATAAACTCAAGAGTTCTCAGCCACTACAGCCAGCGCATCTCCCCTCCGCTGCAGCAGTAGCAGCATCCGAAGGTGCAGAAAAGGCTTCTCGCGATTTGACCAAGGGGTCATCCCACGGGGGTTCCTTTATTGCTGCTATGCAGCCGAAGCGATGGTTTACGGGGGAATCCGAAGCGTCAGACACAGTAGCAGCAACAGAAGCGGCGGGAGAGGAAGTCCAGCATCATCACAGGCAGCAGCAGCAGCACAACCACCACCATTTGACCCTGCGTCTGTGGATGGCGCCTAAGATACTGTCTGTGGTGCGTAGTATCGCACCTTTGTGCTTTGTTGTTGCCTTCAAGTTGGAAACAGATCCGGAACAGCTGCAGCAGAGCGTAACTGCCTACTTAGGAGCGGGTGACAGCAGCTGCAACTCTCAGGGGGTGGCGGATTGCGTCGTCGGGAATGTGCTGAGCACGCGCCGCCAGGCCGCCTTCCTCTTCACGAAAGACATCCAAAAGCAAATTAAATTCAAAGCTAAACAAGCCTACAAATACTTGGGGGTTAGGCGCAACCACACACACACACACACACACACACACACACACACACACACACACACACACACACACACACAAACATACATACATACATGCATATACGCACAGATAGAGGGGCAGATAAACCGACAGACGGACAAACAAGTAGACAGACACAGCGGTCCAAACACTCTCAACCCAATGCGCAATAGCAGATGAACACATAAATGTGGACGCACTCAAAAAACGGAGACGAGCTGCTACCCTGCAGCAGCACCAGCAGAAGCAGTAGCAGTAGTCGTAGTAATCTTTGGCGCAGTATTCGCATTGGTACTGGTAGTTACAGTGGCTATTATAAAGGCCTATTTACTGCTTCTACTTTTTGATTGACATTCTTGTGGGGCTGCCAGCGCAGTGGGCGATAGACGCTTGCTACAAACTGGGAGTAATCAACAGAGGCACACAACGATTGGGAGAGGGAGGCTGTAGCTGTGTACGAACGTCTGTTGTTGCTGGTGCTGCTACACGATGTGTTTGCTTTTGTGTTTTGTTCGGTGCAGCACGGGACGATTGAGGCGCGGCTGGCCAAACATATCCAGAAGCTGCAGGATCTAAAGGTCAAGGAGGGGTTCCTTTAGCAATTTTCGCAATTTTGCATAGTCTGTTTCTTATCCTGTTGGTTTATGCATCAATTGCAAATTCAGTTGGTTAGTTCGCTTGCTTGTGTCATATTTATTAACATTTGAAACGAACAGTAGCGAGAAGGAATGGGTACCGCAAATTGCCGCCCCAGGGGTGGTGTCTGGGCAGCTGTGACTGCTGCAGCAGTAGAGTGGCTGCCCTGTTTTCCCCCCTAAACGAGGCGGCGCTGCCGTGTTAATGAGAAGACTTAAAATTAGCAGCCTCGTAGTGGCAGCGCCGCTAGGTTGAGCACATCCGACAGGAGCATGTACATGTGCCTCTCCTTAATTATTTATTGGGCATTTGCAGCATACAGCGTTATGTATACTTGCTCACATTCTGCCTGCGTATATATCTGCTCCACGTACTTAAAGGAGCTGTTCGATTAGTTTGAGAAATCCGGATACAGATGGGTGGGAGGGCTGTGGAGCTGGAGGCGCCCCAAGAACTCTCAACTCCACCTGAATAGCGGGCCCGTCAGCAGCACAACCAGTGGAAACAGCAACAGCAGTAGCAGCGGCAGTAATCGTAGATTATAGTGCATCGCGTTGCTGCAATGCTAACAAACATCTCATAGCGACAGGCGGTGGCCGGCAGGCCCGCGACCTCACTGGGGATGCATTTGCCACTGCTACTGCCTTTAACAATGTTCACTCCCTCCTGCTTCGCCTGCCGTTCTTCTCCCGTTTTATGCTCCAGTTGAACCTGTTCCTGCTGCTGGTAGTCCGGATGGCCGCGTGCCAGTTGATACGAATGATACGAATGAAACTCTCCCGCAATTGCAGCGGTTGCTGCTCCTGTTCTTGCGGCATACCCAACCTCCTGTCTCAGCCGCTTTTGCTGGTGGTGGAGTTGCTGGTGTTATACTAGCTTGTGTTGCAGCGTTTGCTGTTCTGTTATTTTGGTTGTGTGGCTTTTTCTGCCGATGCATGATGTTTTATGCACTGAATGAAATTCTTTCGCCTTCTTGTCGATCTGCTTGTTTGCTAGGGAGGTGCCTGTTAACATTGATTGTTTTAAACTAGTGCTTGTCTGTTACAGCGAGCTGCAGCAGCAACGACGGTGAGAGGCCGCAGCGGCTCGGAGGGGAAGCGGCTGCTGTTCTCGTAGAGGGGCATCAGCAGAGCTGACTTTCTTCTTTGCTGCTCCTCCTGCATTTGTTGTGCTACTTTGGCTTCAATTCGCTCAATTTCGGTCTCTATCCTCGTCATCAAAGACTCACGAGAAGACGCAGCAGCAGATAGAGAACATGAAACAACGCCCGCCACTTGTTGTTGCTGCTGCTTTTCGGGTTCTTGGTCCTGCTGCTCTTGTTGCGTTTGTTGCTGTTCAGGTTGTTGCTTGTACTGCTGCGCTAGTTGCTGCTGCTGTTCTTGTTGATGTTGCTGCTGTAGGAGCCGCAGTGCTCTTCTGAGATCGACAATAGCTTTATCTGTTTCTTTCTGGGCTGACCAGGCCAAACCCCTGCGGTGGAGGATCTTCGGGTTAAGGGGAGCCCACTGAAGGGCGATTGTACAGTCTTTGACGCACTCTTTGTACTTGTGCTGCTGAAAGAATACTGCTGCCCTGTTCCCGTACAGCTGCCCTACCAACTGCTCAAAAGCCCCTTCTGCTACTCCTGCTGCTGCTGCCCCCGTTGATTTGGTATCAGTCTCAGCAACAGCAGCAGCAGTAGTGCGCTGCTGCATCACAACATAGCAGATAGAGGTTCGGTGCTCTTATTGATTTACGTTTGGAAACGGAAACTAGTTGCCTATAGCAACTACACGCTTGTGCATCTGTGAGCATATTGTGCTGCTTCTCTTCCCTGTTTCCTGTCTCTATCTGGTGTTCTGTTTTGTTGGCTTGACGTACAATTGAGGAGCTATACCTTTTCGTCGGTTTGCCATGTCTCGTTGTCTGCCTCATTTAATATCTGTGCTTGTATATGCGTGAGTGTTGTAATCGCTGTGTTCTTTCTTCCTGTCTGACTCTCTCTTTCTGTTTGTATCTTAGTCTGACTTTGTTTCTCAGTCTCTACCTCGTGTGGCAATTGTGTTTCGGCCTCGTTTTTCTTTCAATTTTCTGTGCAATCCTTTTTCTGTGCTGCCAGTATTTCTGTCTTCTTTTTCTGTTTTGCTCTCTCCGGGTGGTTGTTGTCTTTGTTTCCGCGCTTATGCCCGTAGCTTTTTCGGCCTTGTGCAATTTATGTTCTTGAGGTGTCTATGTACGTTGTGAAGGTGTATTTCTGCTTCTTGGATGCCGCGGGTGTATCCGATGAGCGCATCGTCGAGTCTTCCACCTCTGAATGCTTCATTTGCTTCCGTCTTTATTCTCTGCAAGCCCTCCAGTTCCTCTATTTCTGCTCCCGGCAATGCCCCCAAGATACACATTTTGGTCGACCGCCGACTAGGCTGGTTCCCACGAGCAGCAGGGTGCTGCAACAGCGAAAACAAAGTACTAATGAAGCCATTGGAGAAGAACAAAGGAAGACAGCAACCAAATGCAAACAAATAGTGAAACGACTCGTCAACAAAGTAGAAGAAGGAGCAGATGCCAAGCAACACACAGCACAAATCTCAAATAATTAGCACAACATGACAAGCAACAGCGAACTCGCGGCGAAAACCGGCCTTATAAACAATTCACGTAGAGAGACCCTCAGCCATCCTTCGTCTGATGCACTGACAGAGTCCTCCGGATGTTCTCTCGAAGCAGTTATGCCTCTTGAAGACTGTCGGCTGAAGCGAAATATCAGCGGAGACTACAGGGGGTTTCCATGATGTATGCATAGCTTTGTTTAGCTCTCGCAAGTTCCGTGGCTGCAGCTAGCTGCCTACAAATGTTTTCTTTTTCGCCAGTGCTCGATTTCTTCGTTGTATGGTGTCCTCTTCCTTTTCTGTATCGGCATCGGCGTCAAAGGAATCCCATGCCTTATAGTAATCTGAAAGAGTATTTAAATCGCGCGCAAACTTTCTCCTGTCCGTTTCTGCAGAGGGAGACACTTGCAATTGCGAGGCACCCGCAGACACATGACCCCCTTCCTGCTGCGGGCTAGTCAGTTGCTGCTGCTGTTTATCTTGGCTTTGCTGCTGCAGTAGAGGTTCTTGCCGTTTGTCATCCTCCGCTGGCTGGGCTTTCCTCTGTTCTTGTTCAATTTCGGTTGGGTTGTGAGGCTGTTCCCTTTCAGCAAAGCTTCCTTCCCAATCTTGTAAGTCCGCCAAATAGGCTCGCAACTCCTCCGCGTTGCGACGAATCTGCATCTGTACTGACAACGACATTTTCTTGTTTCTCCGTTTGCTGCTGCTCTCGCTGCTGCTGCTTGTTTGGCCGCTACGGGGGCAGCTTTTGCTGCTGCTGCTTCTCCTGTTACTGGTGGCGCCTATGCTACTGGTACTAACGCTGCTGCTCACACGAAATCTCAGGCCCCTCTAGTCAAGCTGCTCACTCGTATCGGGTTCAAGCAGGTTCAGACAACTATGAAGTCAACTTGTTTGTGAGGCAAAACACTTACAGCCACCGCCGTTAACACCCTGAAGCTTAATGCTGCTAAGGAGCAGAGGTGTATCCACACCAGATGTGAGTAGGCTCAGCAAGCAGTTAAAAATCGCATGTCTCTGTGGTTGCACTAGTTGCTGGTGTGTTCACCAATTCTCCCCAATAACCGGATACTTCCAGAACAGGTGCACGCGTTTCGTCTGGTTGATTTGTCTATCCTAATACCTTGTTGGTGGTAGGAGGACTCCGTAGTTCAGTACGGCTCGAACCACTCACTTCTTCTCAATTTATAATGAAGGTGAAGGTTTTCTGGATGTGTTAATTTCCGGTGAGTGTCTGCGTCTATCGCTGGCATACATGGCAAGCTGCCGTCTGCCGCTATCACGTGCAGGTGGTCCAAATTTATTTGACGGCGTCAGAGAGGCCAATTGTACCAAAAACAAAAAAAGAAACGAAAGACAACACTCAAGCCAACTGACACAACAGAGCAAACAACATCTAAATGTTGTACTTCAAGCACTTGAGCTGCTCATGGGCACTTTGAGGAAGTTTCGATAAAAGCCCTACACGGAGCAAACAAGTGGACACAAAAGAAATTGAAACTCTTTAAAAGACATTTTAATTCATAAAAAATATGTTCTGGGGCTTTTGCCGACTGATCAAGCAAAATAGGGCCCCCAGCTTTCCCACTCGACTGCAGTGTGCGCCCATCTTAGCCTGCCGAGCTAGAGGCTATTGGCGGCCAAGCTGCTATACATATGAGCTATATTTGACGATTTTCGTGGTTCTTTTTATGGAATCCGGAGCATTACACTCCATTTCCCCCTGCCGCCTTCGTGCGGACGATTGGCCTGAATTTTCCTCCCGCTTCCCTCTCTGCAGAGCGTTCCTTAGCAGAAGCAGTGTTTTGTACTTCATTAAACCAGAACACACCACTGGCCTCAGACGACGGCCCGAGTTTCATGCTTCATCCGAGGGAACAAAGGCGCCCTTGGGCTGGGACTCGCAGCAGTAAAACTTCTATCATCTGGGAAACTTTGTCTAGGAGGGCGGGACAAACACGCCGAAAACGCAGTTGGCTGCCGCTTAGCTGCCATTATTATATTGATTGGACTCCTCAGCTTCAGGCTTTTGTTGTCAACTCTCCCTTGAGTTGTCTGTACAACTGGCGGGGAGATGGAGCCCTACGACAGAACTCGTGCCTTTCAGCAGCATGTCTCCCCAGCAGTTCCTTCTGAAGAGGGTGTGCATCCTGCTATTTCTGCTGCTCCAGCATCTGCATCGACAGGAGCAGCAACTGCAGTGTCCGCAACACCATCATCAACAGGAGCCTCCCCGCGTCCTCCTGGGGTTTCTTCTGTTGTACCCGATGCGTTTTGCTGCGTCCACCCCTTAGCTTTGGAGCAGCGGCAGCAGCAGAACAGTGGCGACTGGATGCTGAGGGCTACAACAAAAGCCGTTCGCTCAGAGGCAGACTTGCGTCGTTGGCTTTTCTCAGACACGCACGCGCAGTTTCTCAGCTTCGTCGGGCGCCTAGCGAGACATGCAGCGGGCAAGAAGACTCTGCCCAATTTGTCCCCGTCAAAGCACAATAACAACAACAAACAAGTGCCGTCTGATCCGGCAAATCCAGGTACTGCAGGAAGTGCAGCAGTTGCAGCAGCTGGTGCTGCAGGTCGTGATGCACAGGCGGAGATGATCTCTGCGCAGTCGGGTGCTGGGATGCTGCTGTCTGATTTTGTTCCCTTTCGGCAGCTGCCTGCTAATAAGGCATGCTGGGCTCTTATAGAAGTTCTGCAGCAGCTGCTTCAGTGGGTCGATGAAATTCCTCCCATCGAACAGCCAACACGATTCGGTAATCAAGCATTCAAAACGTGGTGCCGCCGTCTGGAGAAGGTGAGAGGAGCTGCTGTACAGACGCGTGTTCCGACAGAGTATTCAAAACACCTGCGAATGTATTGTAGTCGAGTCTGTAGTGCTGCGCACTAGTACGGTCTTCTTTAGCTCCTCACTGCCGATCAACAACACAAATGTTGACACGAGCGGAGGAGGAAAGAACGGACCCACAGACAGCAAAAGTTACCCTACAGTTGCAGAAGATAAACAACAGCTGTACAACTCCAAATAAGAGGAAATACTGCAGCCACAGTCCACAGCGAATCCCAAATTCTCCAGCCTGAGGAGCCGTAACGCTGCTGCAGCTGTATACCAACAACACCATATCCTAAAGCTCTAAACGCTAATACTCCAAGCAATATGAATCTCAACTTGGGGGTGATTTTGCATTGGTATTTACAGGAGGCAGAAGAGATGTTTTCGGGTGTATGGGCAGCGTGCGAAGACGTACAGGTGGCAGAAACCGAGAAAAAGGAAATGGTCGACATTTTTTGTTCTTCATTCGGCAACCCCGTCCGCCTAGATTTCGGAACCGGCCATGAATGTTCATTTGCTATTTTCTTGTTTTGTTTGTTCAAAAAGAATATCTTAAAAGAAGAAGAACACGACCCATTTGCGGTGCTGGGAATCTTCAAAGGGTCAGTACTCTCTTTCTCTCTACGTTGCCTTCTCTGCTCCTTTCTTTTACTGCCTGGCTTCTGCTGTTGTGTAGTTTTTTGTCGTTTGCTTTCTTTCTTACATGACAGTTGGTGCTGCCGTGATTGGTGCTCGATGCGTTTTTGCATCGCCTCTACGTCCCTCCGCAGCTACGTATATATATCCCTGCACGTACTGAATACTTAATGTTGTTCGCTTTCCCCTGCCTCCGTCCATTCGTGGCCCCTCTAGCTCTTTACGCGTAGCTACTGTCTTGCAGCAGCAGCAGCGCAGCGGCAGAACGCAGCAGTCCTTGTGCTGGCTCGTTGGCTGTTGCCTGTTTTTCAGGTTGTTTATTTGCTTGTTTGTTTGTTTCCGCGTTGATGCAGCTATGTGCAGGTTGCACACGCGCTGCAGCAGCGGTACATGCTGGAGGCTGCAGGCAGCCGAGGCGTCTGGGGTTTGGATGATTTCCACTTTCTTACATTTCTTTGGGGCGCTGGGCAGCTGAGTGAACAGCAGATCATTGAACCTGCGCAGGTACGCCTTTTGAGTTTCCTTTTCTCAGTACTTCTTTGGATCTGCCTTTTCACCCCCCAAACAAGTGCAGAAAACAAGCATCGGGGGATGGGAATGCCTCTTTCTAAGTCTGTTGCATGCGCGGTGTGTATTAGCTTTGCTGAGCCGACTCGTACAGGCGTTGATATACGTGTATGCATATGCAATACATACATATATGTACATATATATATATATATATTATATAT